TGGTCTCGCCACCCAGGCGGGTCTCGAACCCGTGGGCTCAGGCAATCTACTCCCCTCAGCCTCCCAAAGGCATGGGATGATAGGCTGAGCCACCAAGCCCGGCTTCTCCCTCTCTTTCTCGTCCTCTCCTTTCCTTCCCCAATCCCTGTCTTCTTGATCAAGCTACGTTAGAACTGGAAAGAGCTTTTGTGGTCAAATAACTCAAGCCCCTGGCTCTCCAGATAAAGACTCTGAAACTGAGCTGTTGCATGACCCACGTGAGGGGCCTAGTCTCAGCTACTCTGGAGGCTGAGGTGGGAGGATCGCCTGAGCCCAGGAGTTCGAGGCTACAGTGAGCTGTGATCGTGCCACTGCACTCCATCCCAGACACAGAGTGAGACCCTGATTCAGAAGGAAAAAAAAGAAAGAAAAAAGCATTTAAATCCGTGCTGCCCTTTTCCTTTGGCTTGTCCTTCCAGAAGCACAACTGCAGGGGGCAGCCTTGTTCCGCCTGGCAGGGGCCTTGAGGCAAATCTTGACCCCAGTCCTGCCCATCCTTCTCTCCTCGCTCTTTGTGTCCCCTCACAAGCCAGTGACCCTTCCCTGGGTTCTGCGTCTCTTTTGATCCCAGTATTTTGATATCTTTCTTGGAAATGACCCTCTTCCCTCTCAGTCCCTGGGCATTTCATGAGCATTGCCATGCCGAGGGGATGAGGGGTCCCACACCATGTCTGCCACCTTGAACCCACCCTATCTCGAGCTCCCGTCTCGCCCTACAGACACGCGGAAGAGGAGTGTCAGGGAAGAGCCTGGAACTCACGTGATTCGTGTAGACACCTTCATAGACCTCCCCAAAAAAGCCTTCCCCAAGAATGCGATTCAGAATCACATCGTCCCGGGCGACGCCATACTGGAGACCTGCACAGAGGAAGAAAACAGAGTCATAGAGCACAGAGGCCGGTAGCAACTCCTGGAGAACCTGAATGTCTGCAGGTCTTAGAGCCAGGAGTCACCAGACCTGCCCCAACACCTCAGCCAAGATCTAGAGTCTGGGTGGGGAAGGTCTAGACCAGGGATGTCTAGACCTTTTGGCTTCCCTGGACTGCATCAAATAAAGAGGAATTGTCTTGGGTCCCACACAAGTTACATAATATAATCAGTGTACATACATAATAAGATTTCTTTATATACATATATATATTTCTTTTTATGTGTGCTTTTTATTATAATGTTTAGAAAAATGAGAATAATATGAAACTAGTGGGAACTTTGACCTTTAAAAAAAAAAAACAAATCAATGTCCGGTTTGATGGACGTGGTCGCAATTCTCAATGAGTTCTTAAGATGCTCGTCAGAAACGTTTGTTCAAATTTTGTTCTTCGTGTCCTTCATAATTGAAGACAGCTGCTCACAAATGTATGCGCTGCCCATAAGTGATGTCATGAATAAGGTGTGATCGTGAACTTCAAAAATGAAACTACATATGGGGTCACGAAGACAATAAACGCTAGAAAACACATGATGTTAAAAGATTTTGTGGGGCCGCATTACTAGCTGTCCTGGGCTGCATGTGGCCCATGGGCTGTGGATTGGACATGCCTGGTCTAGAACATTCCGTCGTCTCAGACCCAGGGAAGAGTCATCACCCTGTTCCTTCCCTCCAAAGCCTGGGTCTCCCCCAGCAGCTCCACAAAAGATCAACCAGCACGGGAGAAAAAAGAAAGAAGCGTCTCCGCTTTCAGACTGAAGGTGCTACGGGTCTGCTGCTGTCTGAGACACACATGGGGAGAATGAGAAAAAAGAAAAGGATGTCCCCCGTGGTATCACGTGAGCCCTCGCAATGCCATTTCACGGGGCCATGAGGGTGGTCACTGTGCTAAGACCAAGGACCTACCTCCAGGCCTCCGCAGGGTCTCGTCCGGAATCTCTGCGTAGATGTCTGACTCTGGAATGACAGGAAGAAACGCAGCCATGGACAAGATGCCCTTGGCGGCCACCGCCTGGCGGCAGGTGCGGGGCTCCCACCGGGAGGCCAGTGGAGCTCAAGGGTGTGGGAAAGCAGCCAGGTGAGTCCCGGTCTCCCATCTAAGGCTTCAGAGCAGCCACAGAGCCCAGGGTGCCTCTGCTTGGGTCCGTGCTTCCTACTACCCAGTTAGGTGTTTAAGGAAAGCTAGTTGTTCTCCCTTAAAATCTCAGTTTCCCTTTCTGTGAAATGAACGTTTCTGGGGAACGTTGTAAAGATTGAACCACATAATACCAGTTACATGTTTAACACCGACATGGAATGGATATGTGTATCCCCCATACATTTTTTTTTTGAGTCGGAGTCTCACTCAGTTGCCCAGGCTGAAGTACATGGCCTGATCACGATGATCAAAGCTCATGGTGGCCTTGACCTCCTGAGCTCAGGCTATCCTTTTACCTCAGCTTCCCAAATAGCTGGCACTACAGGAGTGTGCCACCATGCCCAGCTAATTTCACTTTTTGTAGAGATGAGGCCTTGTTATGTTGGCCAGGCTGGTCTGGAATGCCTGGGTTCCAGCAATCCATCTGCCTCAGCCTCCCAAAATGCTGGGATTACAGGCGTGAGCCCCCCACACCCAGCCCTCCACAAATTTATATCGAAACCCCAAGTCCCAATGTGATGAAATTAGGAGGTGGGACATTTAGGGGGTGATTAGGTCGTGAGGGCGGGGTTCCTGGTGGAGTTAGTGCCCCTGAAGAAGAAATAAGGCCAAGCACAGTGGCTCAAGCCTGTAATCCCAGCTCTTTGGGAGAGGCCAAGAAGGGAGAATTGCTTGAGCCCAAGAGTTCAAGAGCAGTCTGGGCAACATAGTGAGACCTCGTCGCTACCAAAAAAAATAGCTGGGGGTGGTGCTTGCCTGTAGTCCCAGCTACTTGGGAAGCTGAGGCGGAAAGATAGCTGAACCCAGGAGATTGAGGCTGTGGTGAGCTGTGATAGTGCCACTGCACTCCAGCTTGGGTGACAGTAAGACTCCAACTCAAATAAAAATTAAAAAAAGAAAGAAGAAATAAATCAGAGCTCTTTCTCCACCATGTGAACATATGGGGAAATGACAGCCTTCTGCAAACTAGGATGAGAACGCTCACCGGACACAGACTCTGCCAGCACCTTGATCATGGACTTCCTAGCCTCCAAAACTGTGAGCAAAAATTGTTTTTAGCTGGGTGCGGTGGCTCACGCCTGCAATCCCAGCACTTTGGGAGGCTGAGGTGAGAGCATTGCCTGAGCCAGGGGTTCAAGGCCAGCCTGGGCAACATGACGAGACCTCGCCTCTACAAGAAATCAAGAAACCAGCCAGATGTAGTGGTGCCCGCCTGTCGTTCCAGCTACTTGGAAAGCTGAGGCGGAAGGATCACCGGAGCCCAGCAGGTCGAGGCTGCGGTGGCCGTGAATATGCCACTGCACTCCAGTCTGGGCGAGAGTGAGACTCCAACTCAAAAAAAAAAAAATTGTTTTCAAGCCACTTAGGCTGCAGTATTTTATTTTGTTATGGGAGCCCACACTGACTAAGATAAACACAGTGCAATGTACTGACGACTCAGTACATGTTTACCACTCATGTTATTTTTCAGGCCTTCATGGAGAAACTACGGGGGGGGGTCATCCTTCTGTTTTTTGGAAGAATCCCTTGGCAGTGTCCCGAGAGCAGGTAGCCGCAAGGAAGCAGAAGGGAGGCGGACGGCACGGTGGGCATGCTTACCGATGCTGCAGCTTTCTGAGAGGTGGGACCGCCGGGCCTCCAGGTTCCTGTGGGAGGGGGTGAGCGGGCAGGAGCCAGGTGAGCTCAGAGCATGGCACGGTTCCCCAGGCAGCCTCTGCCCACCCCGTCTGGAGAAGCAGACCATCTGATGAGCCGGGAGCCCAGCCCAGGCGACTGGGGGCTGGAGGGGAGGGGACAGCAGCACTCTCCCCAGGATGACACCAGGTGGCATGAGGGCATGGGGACATTCCTGCCAGTGTCGACTGGGAGGGAACGATCGCCTTTGTGAGGTGCCAGGACCCCGGTGTTCTCGGGGGAACCGGAAGTCAGAAACTGTGGCGATGGGGACGCCCTGTGTGTTCTTCCTTCTCTCTCGGGAAGGGGGGCTGAGCTCGGGGCCCTGTCCTCTGCCTCCCTGTGGTACTCACAGCATGGGAATCTGGGGCAGACTGTTCCGCTTCTCACCATCTGGGGAGAGAGGAGGAAGGAGGAGGCTGGAGCCAGGGAGCACGGGGGTGGGGTGGGTGGTTCCCCTCATGGTTCCTGCCAGGGAGTTCTCCCCACCCCCACCCTCTTAGCCTCAGAGTGGGAGCTAGGCGGGCCTTGGGCCAGAACCGGAATCCTCCTCGCAGGTTGCCTCCTGCAAGATTTCACAACCTGCAGGCTGGACCCCTGCATCCTGAGTCCAACCCCCAAACAGAGTCACACGCCAGAGGGACCAGCCATGTTCTAGCAGTGGCCTTGAGCTTCCCGGGGCTGCAAGCACCTCTCCTCCAGAAGCTGACTCCGATGCAGCCTTTGACCAGCGGGGCCAGGGGTGGACGGACAGGTCAGGGCTTGGAGCCCAAGCTCGGTCCCCAGGGTGGGAAGCCTCATCGTTCACTGCCTCAGTCGACCGGTTAGCTTCTCCCACTCGGCCTCAGGGGGCTTGGCTCCGCTGCGCTGCCGCCCCCGTCCGGCCACGGTGCCTGTCAGTGGAACCCACCTTTCTTGGGGTGGACGATGAGCGAGCCTTTGTGCTCTCCCTGCAGCCGGCAGTACCCGTCTATGAGGTCAGCCATGTTCTCAGCCTCTGCCAGGGACGAGGTTTTGATGGACAGGGCCTGCCGAGAAGAGACCCGTTGAGGGTGAGACCCCGGAGCCCTGGCTAGAGGCCACCCCGCAGGGCTGGAGGAGAGACAGCCACTCACGCAGCCCGGATGCCGCCCACCCCTCTCCTGGGACTCTGCTCAGCTTCCTATTCCCCTCAGCCACCAGGGGCGCTCTGTCATCCCCCCCGACTGAGCTCCCTGAAGGCCAGTCCTGGGTCCCATGAATTTTGATCTCTGAGCACACGGCACAAGGCTTTGTCCCTAGCAGGTGCTCAGTTAGCACCCCCGAAAATGAGAAAAGGAACGGGTGGGGAGTGGGGCACGGGACAGACGGATAAAAGAGACAGACACGCGCTCTGCTGTCCGAGGTCTGATTCTGGCACCCACAGAAAGCTCCGTGGCCCTGAGGTCTTGGCTTCTGAGCCATTGCTCGCTTGGCAAAACCTGGGCCTCTGGTTTGTAGCTGGTTTCCAGCCACATTGACTTTCCCTAAAAGTTTTCCCAATTTATTTCCCGACATTAGAGAAAGAAAACCCGGTTTCCTGAATTTCCTTCTAGTTTGTTGTCATCCTGGTATCTTGTCTAAGCACCGGGTGCGGTTTAATTAACAAGATCCCCAAAGTCAAGGAATCCCTGGCCTCTTGCCCGCCCTGGCCGGGCTGGTCTGAGACAAGTTCCTAGCCTGCAGTTACACCCCTGCAGCGCTTCCAGGTGCCCAGAGATGCTCACCTGGGGGGCGCCTTCAATGCCCAGCTGTAGGACCGCCTGGCCCTCCTCCAGCGGGAGACACCGGATGGACTTGATCTGCTTGAACTCGGCCAGGCAAGTGGGCTGTGGGAAAGGAACAGGGCCCTTCGGACCATGCCACCGCCGGCCACGGGCCGTGTGGGTTGGTCAGTGTGGGGGCGAGGCCAAGGAGGAACTGGGACCTGGGACCCTCGGGGGGACAAAGAGAAAATCAAAGACTATTAAGGCTGGAAGGATCATATAGTCCAAGTCAGTCACTCTGCAGAAGTGAAAATGAGGTCTGCCTGGAGAAAGCCAGGACTTGCCCAAGATCACATGCCAAGGTAGCAGTGTTCCCTGACTCCCATGAGAGTCATTGCCTCATTTTGCCATTAAAAGAGCAACTCTCATTAGCCGGGCGTGGTGGCGCATGCCTGTAATTCCGGCTATTCGGAAGGCTGAGGGGGAAGATCGCCGGAGCCCAGCAGGTCGAGGCTGCGGTGGCCGGCAACAGAGTGCGACTGCAACTCAAAAAAAAAAGAGTAACTCTCAACCGGATGAGGTAACTCATGTCTGTAATCCCAGCACTTTGGGAGGCTGAGGCGAGAGGTTTGCCTGAACCCAGGAGTTCACGACAAGCCTGGGAGACATAGCGAGACCATCTCTACCAGTAAAAAAAAAAAATTAACCAGACATGGTGGTGCATGCCTCTAGTCCCAGCTACTCAGGAGGTTGAGATAGGATTGCTTGAGCCTAGGACATCCGAGGCTGTGGTGAGCCATGATTGTGCCACTGCACTCTGGCCTGGGCAGCAGAGTGAGACTCTAACTCAAAAAAATAAAAAATAAAAAAAAAAGAGTAATTCTTCTTCCATCCGAGCCCAGGAGGATCATGATCCATAGTATCCCCTCTCCTCCCTCCCTTCCTCTGTGCAGGAGATAGTTACAAGGAAGGCAAGGACCCTTTGCCCCAAACTGCTGTCCCCAAACCCTCCCTGCAGCTGCTCCATGAGGGCCTCAGAAGGTCTCCGCTCTCAGCAATGGAGACAGGAAGAACCAATGGGGTGGACAGGGTGGGAGGCAGCAGGAAGGCAAAACCTCTCGGCCTGGGGCTGGGTGGGGCTGCCCCAACCTCCCTCTACCTTTGCGTCTTGACTTGTCAGCTGGCGGATGCCTTTGGGGCCGATGACCAGGTCCACGGTGATGTTCCATCCTTGCTGGAATAGAAGGAGAGCAGACGGTAGCCCCAGTTCTGCCCACCCCCACTTCAGAAATGTGCAGGAAAGATCACCCAGCTGGACACAGGCCACGTCTCCTGGGCCCTCCAGCTCCTTCTGCCCTCAACCCTGGTCACACGGGTCTCCCCTTCCGAGCCTCGCCCACCCTGCCCAACTTCCAGAGCTGGAGACCGACATTTCAATCCCTGCAAGGGGGTCAGCATGAGCTTGCTGCCCGGGAACCCCCACGAGCCGGGCTCCCCTGCCCTCGAGTGGGGCTCCTGGCCCTCTTTCCCAAGAGGCCTAGAATTCAGGGCGCGAGAGGACCGGCAGAGCAGGTCATACAATGAGTTCGCAGCGATAGGTCTCCTGGTCAATGTTGGCGAAGCCTGCGAGGGTGTTGAAGAACTTCATGACACACTCCTCCTCCCTGAGCGAGGCATACTGCTGGAACGTCTGCTGGATCATCTTCCGGAACTGCTTGGGCTGCGGGGGGCAGGGGATGGGCAGGGGTGAGGGAGGCCAGCTCCTCTGGGCTCGGGTTCCCTCCCCCAGGGTCTCACAGAAAGACTGCTCCCTGCTGGAGGATGGACCCCAGGGCCTTCGAGTCGAGAACACCAGCAACCTATGACCTCACAGAACTGATGTCTCCAATGTAAAGCTGGAGCCCAGGCATGTCACACCCTGATTCCCAGCTCCAGTGAAGACCCTTGAGTGCACGCATTTGTTCATTCATTCTTTTTTTTTAAGAGAGAGGGTCTCCCTCTGTCACCCAGGCTGGAGTGCAGTGGTGCGATCATAGCTCACTGCAGCCACGAACTCCTGGGCTCAGGTGATCCCCCTGCCTCCGCTTCCAGAGTAGCTGGGACTATAAGTGGGTGCCACCACGCCAAGCTAAGTTCTTTTTCTTTTTTGTGGAGATGGGGGGTATTGCTATGTTGCCCAGGCTTATCTCAGACTCCGAGCCATCTTCCAGCCGCACCCTTCCAAAGCGCTGAGATTGTAAGTGTGAGCCACAGCACCCAGCCCCCGGATGCATTTAGTTGTCCTGTGTCCAGAAACCCAAGGCAGCATGCTCCCTTGGCTTCCCGGTGTACCCCCAGTCAGATCCCCTCAACTCTAGTCTTAGGGACCAGCACAAAGCAGGTCTTTCCATGTTCCTCCACCGCTGCTTTCCTCACCTTTAAGTTCTCTTGCATCTGCTTTGGGAAAAACAAGTCCAGGCCCACTTCCTTTCTGAAAGAAGGCAAAAAAAAAAAAAAAAAGAGGCAGCTTTTGACTCCCTCCCCCACCTCTCACCCCAGGACTTCTGGCCAATTGGGAGGAGGTGAGAAGGCTTGGGGAGGGGGAGCCTGGCCCTGCCTGGCTCTGGTTTGGGATAGACTGGAGGAAGGGGTGAGGCGAAAACCAGGGTGTCAAGAAAAGGAAGGGAGGGGCAGGAGGCCGGACCCGGACTTACTCCAAGAGTTCGAAGTTGGACTTCTTGTCCAGTGCGTTGTGAGGCATGTCCTTGAAGAAGCGCCTGGAGAGAGAGAATTTTAGGAACTCCCCCTGTCCCCGCTTTTTTTTTGTTGTTTGTTTTACTTGCTCCCAATCTTCCACACCGAACAAGTATTACCAGTTTTACTTCAATAAATGGAAGGCAGCGAGTTTAGACAAACCATCGGAGCATACATCATCCAGGTCTGCCCCCACCAAGGGTCCCACTCCATGACTGCACATCTACTTGGCAGGAAATCCTTCTTCCTGTTCCTCCTTTTACTGCCGCCCGGAAGCCATGGAGACTAGGTTCAATCCCTTTCTTAGATGCCATCTACCTGAAGGCAATCATTTTACCATGAGCTTCTTCTGCGGGTCCCCTTCCTGGCCCCCAGCACAGACACGCCAGCTCATTGACCTCAGCTGCTTCAACTGTGCCCCTCAGATGAGCAAAAGTGATGGAAAGTAAGAATGAGAATGCAGGCCAGTGGTGGTGGTTCATGCCTGGAATACCAGCACTTCGGGAGGCTGAGGTGGGAGGATTGCTTGAGCACAGGAGTTCAAGACCAGCCTAGGCAACATAGTGAGACCTCATCTCCACAAAAAAAATATATATATTAAAAAATTAGTGGGTATGGTGGCGTGCACCTGTAGTCTCAACTACTCAGGAGGCTGAAGCAGAAGGACTGCCTGAGTCCAGGAGGTTGAGACTGCAGTATGCTGTGATCGTGCCACTGCACTCCAGCCAGGGCAACAGAGTGAGACCCTGACTCAAAAAGAAAAAAAAAAAAAAAAGTAGCGCAAGCCTGTAGTTTCAGCTACTTGGAAGGCTGAGGCAGAAGGGTTGCCAGAGCCCAGCAGGTCGAGGCTGCGGTGGCCGGGAGCGTGCCACTGCACTCCAGTCTAGGCGACAGAGTGAGATTTCAACTCAAAAAAATAAATAAATAAAAATAAAAAGAGAGAGAATGAAAAGAATGGAAACCTGATGACAGCAGCATGATGAGACAAGTGACCTTTCTACCCAGTTTTTTGGGCATTTATAAAGCACCTCCAATAAATCAATAAAAGTTAAAATGCCACAGGTTGGGCTGGAGGGAAAGCAGAAGGTGAAACCTCTCTTATATAAAACTTTTCTAATAGAATCAAGAATGAGTCCGTTTAAATGAGCACCAAGGAGAAATAACATATTATGCTAGCCCAGGGAACATGGTTGAATTCTATCTTATTATATTGAAATCGATTTCAATCCTATCTTCTAAGGAAACATGCAAGGACAGACGGTCTTAAAACACGTTCAATAAAACAGGGCTAGAAGGACACAAGAAACAAGATATGGAACGTGCCAAAACCCCAGTGGAAGGTCTTTGTTAGTGTAGGTTGGGGTTTGGTTGTCTGGCTGCCAGTGTAGTAGATAGAAGACCTCATTTAGTTCATAATTTGTCAAGTGAACACATTTGCAACAAAAGAGAGGTTTTATTACATAGGTTAAGTCTGAAAAGCCACTGGATGAAAGAAAACAAATATCCTCAATATTCATTTGACCAAAAATAGGAAGCCAGTTTCAATATGTGTGGTTCTTTTTCTCCCGTTGTAGTTTTGTAACTACCAACAGCATAGCATTAAAGCACAATTCAGCAAAGGTGATTGCTCAAGGACCTAACTGAATGTGGTGTGGGTGTAAGAGGGGAACCCCCCCCAAACTGAATTATCTTTTGGAGGAATTATCTTTTGTTGCAGCCTCAGAATTTGTTCCTCCAGATTAAGCAGCCAGTCAAAGTTTTTATCTGGAAGTTCTGAGAAGGTTGCGCCATGATTTACAGAAGAAACATCCCAAGTTGTGGCAAAAAGATGACACACCATGACACGCCATGACGCTGCGCCGGCTTACATCGTGTTGAGCGTTCAGCAGTTTTTGACTCCAAATAGCAGGATGCCCCATGCCCCACCCTCCCTATTTACACCTAATCTCTCCCCAAGTGATTTTTTTTTTTTTGTGACCCTGATTTTTAAAAAATCCTCAATGGGAAACGTGTTGCTGATGTGGAAGAGGTGAAACAAAAGACGGCGGAAGCACTAAAAGGCATCGAAATCGGAGTTTGAAAACTATTTTGAGCAGTGGAAAAAGCATCTTAATAGGTGTACTGCATCAAACGGAGAGCATTTTGAAGGTGACTGAGGTTTAAACATGTAAGAATACATACACCATTTTTTATAAATGAATTCCAGGCTTTTTTGGGTTCCCTCCTTGTATGGCCTTCCAACGGTCTAATTCAGTGATTCTCTCCTAGGGGAGCTTTTGCACGCCCCTCCCTCCACCTGAAATGCTTGGCGATGTCCGGAGATATTTTTGGTTGTCAGCAAAAATATGCTTGATGCCAGCATCTAGTGGGGCAGAGGCCAGGGATGTTGGTAAACAACCAACAGCGCATAGGAAAGCCTCCCAGTGACGAAGAATTATCCGGCCCCAAATGTCACCAGGGATGAGATTGGGAAACCCTGAGTATTTGGTCCAAGGAGAAAACTCAGGAAACCCAGCAGAGTGGTTCTTCTCTACTTCCACTTCTCTCCAGAGTGGGGCATGAGGTCATGTTGCAGAAGGGGTATTCCAGCCGACTAGGGACAGATCTGCAGACTTGGGAGACTAGACAGAGATGACATTCGGTTATAGGATGGAGAAGCCAAGTCTGGAGATTTGCCCCAAGGGAGAATCCTCCTCCTCCTTCCACTTGAAGCGTGCCTGTAGCGAAGAGCCTCAAGTTTCTCACCATCCGTCATCACAGCTTTAGGAAGTCTTCTGAGCCTGTGTTACCTGCTCATCCCTCACATTCATAAAAAAAAAAAAAAACCTCCGAGCGCCTGTGAAGTGTGATTCCAGGCGGTGTGGCCATCTGCGGTTCCCGCTGGGTTGACTGAGCTGCAAAATGTACTCCTAGGTAACTGCACAGATTGGCTTGCTGTACGGAATACGTGTTGGCAAATGTCCGCCGGAGAGGAGGATTCTAGCTCTCTCTGAGCTACCCGTTCATTCAAATGTGCACGGAACTCTTCCGTGCCAGGCAAAGGCGGTGCTGATCTTGGTGTCCTGAGTGGCTCAGGACCAGGGGAGAAGTTGTCTGGTTCTTTAAACTGGAAAGGTATTAACTTCCAGCCATGCATTGCAAAAATTAATTTAGAGGGGAATATTCAGATAAAATAATATATTTGTTTGGCATTTATAAAGTACCTCCAATAAATCACTCAAGTTAATTAGGTATCATTTCAAGGATAAGACATTCTGGAAAAGGGACAACCGTGGCAACAATTGACAGGATTTGACAATCTAGTAGGTAGGGGCGTGGCACTGCTTAACAGAGCTACGCACAAGCATGGCGGTTTTCTGAAGGAGGTTGAGGATGGAGCAGAAAAGGCCTCAAGATGAAAGGACGTTTGAGCTGGCTTGGTAGGAACAGCAGATGGTCCGCTGCTTCTACCTGACACTTGACAGGTGCGTGTGGAGGCTTCCTGTACATGTGAAGGGCACACAGGTAGCACTGGTTCTGTAAGTTTCCTAAAGCCACCAGAATAAGAAGTCTTCCAGGCTGGCAAGGGGACTGAGAGGTGTGTGCCAGGCAGAAGGGATGCACTACGCAGCAAAGGGTGAGATCTGCTTCCCTGCCACAGATCAGACCAGAGTCACTCCTGGCTTATTGATCGTGGGTGAATGAGTGAATGAGCTTTGAGACTTGTGATGAAAGAATTCTGAAGCCTGAGATATTTACGTAGTCCATTAAGAATATCGGAGTTAGCTCAACAGACTTTGAAATTAACATCGAGAGATTAAAACACATGAAAAATCCTAGCAGTGTTAGAAGGATTATGGAGACAGCGAATGGAAAAAGGCTTTGTTAGGAAAAAGGAAGCTCAGCTAACACCCCTAGGTCATTCCAGTCTCCTGGATTCAGCTTGCTTAGCTCACCCCCTAGGTCACTGATGGCATCGAAGATCATTTGCGGCGTTACTGATGACAAAGGTGCCCAGTCACTCAAATGTGCCACGATCTGGGTGCTCCTAACATTTGGAGCGAACCAACATTATCGGGATGCCTGGGAGAACCAGTAGCCATCATTAAACAGAGATACCTCTCTCCCCAGCAAGTGAGCTTTGCAGTCTTCTGTGCTGAGTCCCATATCAGCTGCTGTCAAGGAGCACCCAGTTATCCCAAGTCTCCCCCGCCCGCCATCACTGAGTGAGGTGTGCCCCCACTAGTGCCTGGTTGGGTCCTCCTGCACAAGCCTGCGCTTCTGAGTAGCCAACACTAGGTGGACAGCGGAGTCAATAGACAGGCTCCAGGCCATGACTGATACCCAGGGAAGGACAGCAGAAAATAAAGAAATGTCTATGCAAAATTCAGCTGGTCATGGTTTTCTTCTAAGTAGCCTTAGAAATATTAAATATAATATCAACATTTAGAAATTAACACGAGCCAAGATGCCTTTTGAAGCAAAACAAACTGAGCGTTTGTTCTCTAATCTTTACTTACAACAGCTACTACTTAGCCAGTCTTGGGTTATACATTCACTCTGGTTTTTTAGGTCAGAGCATTCTTGGGCTCTGCCACCTAAGGTCAAGGGGACAGGTACTAATTTCTAGCATAATTATTAGGCCACAAATTTCAAATATTAATTTAGAGGGGGAATATTTAGTTTAAAATAATACATTTGGCATTTATAAAGCACCTCCAAACCAGGCACAGTGGCTCACACATATAATCCCAGCACTTTGGGAGGCAGAGGCGAGAGGATTACCTGAGATCAGGGGTTCGAGACCAGCCTGAGCAACATGGTGAGACCTCCTCTCTACAATAAATCAAAAAGTCAGGCCAGGCTGGGTGGTTCAGCCTGTAATCCAAGCACTTTGGGAGGCCAAGGTGAGTAGATTTCCTGAGCCTGCGGGTTCAAGACCAGCCTGGGCAACTTGGTGAGACCTCATCTCTACGGTAAATAAAAATTGGCTGGGCACGGTAGCACGTGCTTATAGTTTTGGCTACTTGGAAGGTGAGGCGGAAGGATCACCAGAGCCCAGTAGGTCGACACTGGGGTGGCTGTGAGCGTGCCACTGCATTCCAGCCTGGGTGACAGAGTGAGATGCCAACTCAAAACAAACAAACAAACAAACAAAAAAACCTAGTCGGGCATGGTGGCACATGCCTGTGGTTCCAGCTACTTAGAAGGCAGAGGCAGAAGGATCACCTGAGTCCAGCAGGTCAAGGCTGCGGTGACTGTGAGCGTGCCACTGCACTCCAGCCTGGGTGACAGAATGAGACTCCAACTCAAAAAAAAAAAAAAAAAAAAAACCCTCCAGTAAATCAATAAAAATTAATCAGGCACCACTCCAATGACATGACATTCTGGAAAAGGCATAACCATGGCAACAATTAAAAGATCTGTGGTTGCCAGGGACAGGAGGAAGGGAGGGAAGGAGGAGTAAAGAGAGCACAGAGGATTTTTAGGGCAGCGGAACTACTCTGTGTGATGTTATGATGGTGGCTACATGTCATTATATATTTGTCCAAACCCACAGAATGTCCAGCACCAAGAGCGACCCTAACGTGAGCTATGGATTCTAGGCAATGAAGACACCTCAATGTAGGTTCATCCACTGTAACAAATGTGCCACCCTGATAGTGGGGGTGGCTGTGCATGTAGGGGTAAGAGGGATACAGGGACCCTCTGTCCCTTCCAATCAATTTTGCTGTGAATCTAAAGTCTATTAAAAATAAACAGAGAAATAAAATAAGGATCAGAAGAAAAAACAGTAAAAAAGAAAAATTATCGAACACTTCTGTCTCTTTCATTATGTACTTTAAATACATGAACTTAGCCAGGCAAGGTGGCTCATGCTTGTAATTCCAGCACTTTGGGAGGTGGAGGTGGATTGATCGCTTGAGCCCAGGAATTTGAGACTAACCTGGGCAGCACAGTGAGAGCTCGTCTCTATAAAAAAAAATTTTAAACTTAGCCAGGTGTGGTGGTGTGCACTTATAGATCCAGTTACTTGGAAGGCTGAGGTGGAAGGATCACCTGAGCCCAAAGGGTCAAGGTTGCAGTCACCGTGATCATGTCACTGCCCTTAAGCCTGGGTAACAAAGTGAGACCCTGACTCAAAAATAAATTAATAAGCAGTGGCTTATCAATGACTCAAAAAAAAAAAAAGATTAATAAGAAGATTATAGTAGCTCACACCTGTAATCCTAGCACTTTGGGAGGCAGAGGTGAAAGGAGTCACCTGAGTCCAGGGGTTCAAGACCAGCCTGGGGAACTTGGCGAGACCTCATCTCTACAATAAGTCAAAAAATTAGCTGGCTATGGTAGCATATGCCTGTGGTTCCGGTTACTTGGGAGGCTGAGGTGGAAGGATCACCTGAGCCCAGCAGGTCGATGCTGAGGTGGCCGTTTGTGTGCCACTGCACTCCAGCCTGGGCGACGGAGTGAGACTCCAATTCAAGATAAGTAAATAGATAGATAGATAGATTAATGACTCATAAGTAAAATTGTAATGACAAGCTTTTTTGAATTGTCTCACTTCAGAGGGGAAGATGAGACTTATAGGTCACAGGAGTTGGGCAGTCTTGAAAAGCACAAAAGGGCTGGGCTTTGTGGCTCATCCTGTAATCCCAGCACTTTGGGAGGCCGAGGTGAGTGGATTGCTCGAGCCCGCAGGTTCAAGACCAGCCCAGGCAAGATGGCAAGACCTCGTCTCTACAATAATTCAAAAATTAGCTGGCCGTGGTGGCACACGCCTGTAGTTCTGGCTACTTGGAAGGCCGAGGCGGAAGGATCCCCAGAGCCCAGCAGGTCGACGTTGAGGTGGCCGTTTGTGTGCCACTGCACTCCAGCCTGGGCGACGGAGTGAGACTCCAACTCAAAAAAAAAAAGGCACAAAAAGGCTCACATCATAGAATAAACCTCATGGAGCGCCCCCCCCACCCCGCCCCGGCCACCAGCACCGAATCTCCAGTGTCACTATGGTTGGCAGTGGGCCAGGATGCCACTTAACCTGTTGCAGGAGCATCAGTTTTTCTTTGCCCAGAGGATCTGAGTGGTCCCTATTTTGCTGGTTGAGACAGAGTCACCAAGTGTGAAGCCATGCAGAGCCCTGGAGGCTGCCCGGGACCTGTTCTGTAGCAAACACCAACAGTCTCAGAAGCTGACATGAAAGGGGGACCCTCACCTTCTTTTCTTTTCTTTCTTTCTTTTTGAGTTGGAGTCTCATTCTGCCACCCAGGCTGGAGTGCAGTGGCATGATCACGGCTCACTGCAGCCTCAACCTGCTGGGTTCAGGCAATCCATCTGCCTCAGCCTCCCAACTAGCTGGGACTAGAGGTGAGCGCCGCCATGCCCAGCTAAGTTTTTGATTTATTGTAGAGATGAGCTCTCACCATGTTGCCCAGGTTGGTCTCGAACTCCTAGGCTCAAGTGATCCTCCTGTCTCGGCCTCCCCAAGTGCTGAGATTACAGGCATGAGCCACTGCGCCCAACCTGACCCTCACCTTCTTATACCACAGCCTCCACTAGGGGACCCTTCAGCACTTTCTCTGAGACGCAGCAAGGGCCAGAATTCCCCAGTGGCCCGGGGAATAGGGTTCTACTTTCTGTTAACTTTAAGGCCCTGGAAATGTATTTCCAGTAAACCAGAAGTAACCCCCTGCCAAAGGCTCTCCTAGCAATGGTCTCCAAATTCCTTCCGGCAACCCCTATGAGGCCAATTGCATCCAAATCACCTGGGAGTCACGGGAGGTCGGGTTGGTGAAAAAATGCATAGCTAAGGTCCCACCCAGATCTGCCAGACCAGAGCTCCCCAGGGTGCGGGGTAGGGAATCGTCCGTTTATTAAGCTCCCAGGTATGGTTATGATTTGCAATCAGATGTTGGAACCACTGCTCCAAGACAGATTAGAGGGGCAGAGAAGGGGAGGGGGTGAAAGACAAGGGGGAGGAGAAACTGAATGGTGGGGCCCTGGCCAAGTTTAGTCATATCACTCTTCCTGGTCCCAAACAACTGTGACTCTTCAACAAACTAGAAGAACACCTAATTTTTTTAGATCGGCATTCTAATGATGTCTGTCATTCTAGCAAGGTCCCTCCAATGAAGTCACTCTAATGGTGTCCTGAACTGCTGTTGTACTGACAGTGCATTCCACCACAGCCCCAGCAGAGCCCTCCAAGCTTCCAATTCTCCAGTCTCTGCTTTCCATCCCAAAGACTCCTGGGCCCTCCCTTCCCCCATTATCCGCCACTTGAAATCTTTCTCCTCCTTCCCAGAGCAGCTCAAATCCCCTCTTCCTGACACTCTCAGCCAGACTCACGGCTCCTCCATGGAAGTCTGTTTGACACGAATTCATCCCGCCTCATCTCATGATTAACGGCAGACACATCGGTCGCCTCCCAAACACATATTGGGGGCCACCTCTGGATGATCTGCTAATTCCACGCATAGGTACTGAGTGTCCTCTGGATGGAGCCAGGGATACAGCCATGGGCAGCAGCACAGATGGAAATCCCTACGTTTAACTAACCCTGCCCGGTGCGCTCAAGGAACACTTGCTGGAACAGCAGCAGAGACGATTGAGAGAATGGAAGAAGCTAGCAACCCGTGAGTAAGAGCAGAGGCTGGCAAAGGAAGCCAGGGAGTCCGGCCAGAGAGAGCTGGCCTTTCTCTCCCAAGGACCAGGCATCGAGCACTTCAAAGCCTCGCCCTCTGCCGACCACCACCTCTCCCCTTCCTCCTCTCACACACCCACTCTTGCTTCCCACCCTGGACGTGAGGAAAGTCCGGGCCAGCCAAGAGCCCGGCACAGCACCCTCCCAGCGGAGGCCTGACGCCACGTACCTGAGCTCCAGACAGCCCAGCTGCAGGGCCATCCCCTCGCTGACCTTGCTGGCATAGCGTTGCATGTAGTCGTTCCGGAGCTGGCGGGGGGAAAGCGGTCAAGGGTCAGGTGTGCACCCTTATCCTCACTTCCTTGAGCAGAGGCCTCAGAAGATGGGGGGCCTCCTTCGGCCTCACTGTGCTCTCTCTGACACCCACCCCACCACAAACAAGCAAGCACAGGGCAGGGAGGGAGAGCACCCAGGGAAGTGCACTCACACCTCCACAGGCAAGACCCTGGGGTTTTTGAGGTGCTTTTCATACGTCTCTCCCACCTCCGTGAGGCAGGAAGTTCAGATTCTCCTCCCCTGTCCCCCATTTTGGAGAGATGGGAACTGAGATTTGGGGAGGGGCCGGTAATGTATCCAAAGCCCTGTTGGAAAGGAGTGATAGAGGTCATCCCCCATCCAAGAAAAGTCTGGTTTGATCTCCAGCAAACCAGGAGGGGGACGTCCCCGAGGAGGGAGCTAAGACTAGACAGGATGCAACGATGGCCGCTCACGTTAGCACTGCACTTGCCCTGAGCCCGGTGCTGTGCCAGCCACTTTATATGCGTTATGGCCAATGGTGTGTCAGAGAGGCTCAAAGCAGCTCGTGAGAGCCAGTTATTAAATTTTCAGAAATTCTGCGAAGAAGTAGCTATCTTATCAGTAGCTCAAAATAGGCCATGGTGGGAATATTTACACCATGGAAATGGGCAGGGGCTACATATCAGGGATGCTTTCCTTGCTTTCCAGTTTGCCAGCACACTGCCAGTCATATTATTTGGTCCTCACAACAACCCAACAGAGTTGGTTATGACTGTCCCCATGTTACAGAAGGGGAGCCAGCTTTGTGCAGGTAAGTGGAGTTTCTGGGAAGGCGAGGCCAATGAATGGCAGAGCTGGGCTGGGAACCAGGAGCGTGAGACAGCAGAGCTGAGCAGTGCGCACTGAGGCTTCTCTCTGGGCCGGCTCTTGCTGCTTCACTAGCCGGGTCTCCTGGGCCTCCGAGGAAGTCCAGCAGCGCTGTCTCACACACCAAGGAACACCTTCAGGAGAAGCTTCCTAGACGGGGCCCACGACGTCTGGCTTTGTCTTTCCATCTCCCCAGGAGAGGATGGATGATACACGGCTGGGACTGAAGGTGCAGGGGGACCCCGGGGGCAGGAAGAGAAAGTCCTTTGTACCTGTTGGTAAAAATAAAGCAGCGTGGTCCTGTCCTCCTTCAGGGTCTCCATGAAGTCTTCCGGCAAGTAGCGGATTTGGAGGTCATACCTGCAGCGGGACATTCAGGTTTTCTGGTTGGCACAGGGAAGCTGCTGTCTAACGGAGGGAGCGGGGTCCCCAAGGGCAGAAGCAGTCCCACCCCCTGGCATGCAAGGGGCTGCCCGGGAAGGGGTGCCCAGACCACCCATTCGGGACGTGCTTTCTCTTTTCTCTCCTCTGTGGTTGGGCGGAAGGCCACAGACAGAGGGGTGGCCGCCGGTGGTGACAGAACAAGCCTCAGCTGTCCATCTTTCTTCCTATGGCAATGGCTTCCCTGAGGTCACAGACCAGCCCTAGCCCTGGGCTCTCTCTGTCCTCCCCACCCTTCTGTCTCCCCACAGCACCTTGCTGAGCGGTCTTCCCAGGCCCTGGAAAACACGTGCATTGGTGCTGCAGGAGGGCTAAGCCCAGAGTGCCCCTGGACTCTTTCAGAACATTCTGAGGCTGGGGAGTGCTCCAGGAGGGGACTTCCCAGGGCCCTCCCGCCCCGCCTCCCTCTCCCCTCCCGCCTTCCAGGGCCGCGACCCCCCTCCTACCTCCACTCGGCTTCCACGTGCAGACACTCATACTTGTCCTGCACCTCACCCACCGTCATCTGCGGGTGCAGCCAGTGGATCTCGTCCGACTTCATGTGCTTCAGCCTCAGCCCGTAGCACTGAGCCAGCTGGATGTTGGGCCCGATTCGCCCACTCAGCAGGATGGAGGTGATGATCTCCTGGGGAGGAAAGGGAGGGGCTCGACTCAGTGGTGCCCCCCACCCTGGGGTCCTCCAGTCCTCACGCAGCTCCCAGAAGCACGATTCTCTAGTGGGTTCGTGTCTTTGTTTTGAGTCGGAGTCTCACTCTGTCGCCCAGACTGGAGGGCAGTGGCACGCTCCTGGCCACCGCAGCCTCGACCTGCAGGACTCCGGCGATCCTTCCGCCTCAGTCTTCTGAGTAGCCGGAACTATCACACCTGGCTAGTTTTTGATTTATGGTACAGATAAGGTCTCGCCAAGTTGCCCGGGCTGGTCTCGAACCTGTGGGCTCAGGCAATCTACTCGCCTCGGCCTCCCAAAGTGCTGGGATGACAGGCTGGGTCACTGAGCCCGGCGGGGTTCATGTCTTCATGTCTTATCTGTCCCCGATCCTCCAGCCCTTAGCGTGAGACCCGGCCCGCGATGGGCTCTGTTTGATGGATGAACAATTAGGTGAAACGAGATGGAGGTGGAGGAACTGAGGGCAGAAGTGAAGGAGAAGACGCAGAAAGGCGAAGAACACGGGGAACGTGCTTCCACTCTGCAAACCAGGCACACCCATTCATAATGACTGAGCACCCACCACGTGACAAGCACCTCCTCCCGGCTTGCCAGGCATCTGCACCAGGCTCTGCTAGGCACTCTACAAACATCATCTGCACACCGCAGGGAGGAAGGTGTTACCACTCCTTTAGCTGACGAAGACACTCGTGTGGGTCCTAACCGCCTGTGGAATTCAGTGGGAACTTGGAACCCTGGGACACTGGGTTCAGGATTTCAACCAGGCCAGGCCAACGCTCGGGGTAGTGGGGCCAGACAAGACAGGACAAGGCTCACATCGAGAGAAAGGGCCATGAGTCCCACATGAGAAGCCCTGTCACAAGACATGGCAGAAAATCAGGTGCCCTCTCGTCCTCGAGTTCTTGTTTTGCAGAGGTTACTCTTGTTACGCTCTGGGGGATTCTGTCCGAATGTTTTGCTTGTCTGCTTCTTCAGCACTGAGGGTAGGACTTGGTACACGAGGGGTTCTACCTGTTGAATGAACTCTTCGGCGAAACCAGGAGGAGATGGAAGAACTGCCCCCAGCCTGTGCCCCAGCCTGATGCCATAGCTTCCTGGTCAGAGTCAGAGATGGATGCCCATCCATAGGGCCCTGCCTAGCTCTGAAATCACTTTGGAGTCATTTTAACTCAGGGGTCTTACGTGATTCCACAAATAGTTGGTGAACTGAGCCCATTCCTGACAGAGCAGAGTATGCTCAGGTGCAAATTTAAAAACCTGAAAGCAGCCCAGGCATGATGACTCATGCCTGTAATCCCAGCACTGAGGCAGGAGGCTTGCTTGAGCCTAGGAGTTTGAAACCAGTCTGGGCAACGTAGCAAGACCCATCTCTACAAAAAGAAAAAGTTGGGCATAGTGGCGTCAGCCAGAAAAAACAAAAACAATAACAAAAAAACCCTCAAAGGCCGTGGCCTATCACTCTGCTGGGTATCCTTGCCTTGTGCACACTGCCCAGCCTACACCAGCCTAAAGACAGAATAAAACACAGTGGGTAGCTGTCCAGCCAGGAAGAGGAGGGAGCCTTGATTATTTAGATTTTATGTTTTTTCAAACATGCCTCCCAAGAAGTTGTTTAGTTTAGTAAATCAAATGTAATCAATTCCTTAACTGGAATAAAAAGAAGGAAGTATGCTATTTTTCTCAGAAGAAGAAAATCTGTTTCTTCCTCTCTCCGCTAGGAAAATGTCACACTGGTGTTTAGATAATACCAGTTTGAAACAATGTCCAGTCATCTGTCTGCCTGGACACCCATGCGTCAGCCACCTCCTGCCAGCCCTCCAGGGAATTGTGAACTTCGAAGACCCCCTGCCTGGAAAATTTATTTACTATTAGGGAAAAAAATGTCTATCAGAGAAGTTGATGACTGCTCTGTGAGTGGAGAAACTGAGGCACAGAACGCGTATGTGAGTTGTCGTAATACTGACTGCCAGAATCCGAACGGAGGTCCTGGAATGGCGAAGAGAGCAATGATCAGGGCACCCCCACAGTGAGAGGGACTTTCGGGGGAAGAAGAGTTCATGCTTGTGAGGCTGACAATTTTGTCGCCGTCTCCACCGATTTCCCCCGCCCCTGACCTTCTGCACTGCTCTGTCCACTGACCATCCTGTCGTGCTACCCGGAGCCCCCATGTCACCCCAAGCCCTCCATGGAGCCCTGCCTCTGGTGCTCTTAAGCTTAGAGCCCTCCCCTGCCGCCTTGGAGACCCACTTGGTTCCTGTCTGATTTCCTCAGGGCTGGGGCCCCTGGGCTGTTTGTTACTGAAAATCTCAAACATCCACAAAGCAGAAGAGGATAACAGCCCCCCTGTGTAGACATCACCCAGCCTCGGCGACCACCAACCTGCTGCCTCCTGCTGCATCTACACCACCACCTACGCCCCAGCTGTGACTCACAATTCTTAAAAATGTACAAATTTCAGCAGTACAATGTTCACACATGAATACACCTGTGTAGCCCACCAATTAAGTTATAGAACTTTCCAGATCCCCAGAAAGCTCCCCCATATCCCTCCTGAGTCAACCCTCATGGCCCATCCCACCCCCTTTCCAGGCAACTTGCCCCCTGTCCCCACCAATTAGTCTTGCCTGTTCTAGAACTCCATATACGTGGATCATTTGGCATATATTTTTTTTCTTTTTTTGAGTCAGGGTCTCACTCTGCTGCCCAAATTGGAGTGCAGTGGCACCATCACGGCTCACCATAGCCTCAACCTCCTACATTAAGGCAATCCTTCTGCCTCAGCCTCCTGAGTAGTTGGGAATACAGGTGTGTGCCACCACGCCTGGAAAATTATTTATTTATTTATTTGTAGAGTTGAGGTCTTTCTACGTTGCTCCAGGCTGGTCTTGAACTGCTGGACTCAAGCAATCCTCCCACCTCAGCCTCCCAAAGTATGGGGATTACAAATGTGAGCCACCACAGCCAGCCTGTATATGCTTTTTTATGTCTGACTTTTTCCAATCAGCATAATATCTGAGATCTATCGAGTTGTTGCTTACATCAGTGATATGTTTCCTTTTATCAATAGACATACTCGGCTTTATAAATGAACCACATGTGTTTATTGAGTTTCCTGTTGCTGAATACCTGTGCTATTTTTAAACTGTGGCCATTGTGAATTAAATCACTATGAACATGAAGGTACACTATTTTTGTGTATGTTGTCACTTCCTTTGGATAAATATGAGAAGAGGAATTACTGGGTCAAAGGTAGAAATATGTTTGACTTTATAATAAACTGCCCCAAATTAGGCTGGTGTGGTGGTTTGGGCCTACAGTCCCAGCTACTTGGGAGGCTGAGGTGGGAGGATCACTTAAGCCCAGGGCTTGCAGGCTGCAGTGAGCGATAATGGTGCTACTGCACTCTAGTCTGGGTGACAGAGAGAGAGCCCGTCTCAACAAAAAAGAAGACAATTAGCTGGGCCTGTAAACCCAGCTACTCGGGAGACTGAGGCAGGAGGACCACTTGAGCCCAGGAATTCAAGGCTGTAATGAGCTATCATCTCCCCACTGCACTTCAGCCCTGGGTGACAGAGTGAGCCTTTGTCTCAAAAAAAAAAAGAAAAAAAGGAAGAAACTGTGAAGATTATTCTATTTTATTTTATATTTCCACTATAACGTGAGACTTCTGTTACACCACACCTTCACTAACATTTGATGTTGTCAGTCTTTTTAATATTAGCCATCTCCGTGGGTGTGTATGGTAGTATCTCACTGTGCTTTTAATTTGCGTCTCTCCGATGACTAATGATATTTAACAAGCTTTCACGTGCTTACTGGTCATTCGTTCATATACCTTCCTTTGCGAAGCAGCTGTTCAAATCTTTTCCCCATCTTTTTCTTCTGTTGTATTTTCATTATTGAGTTGCAGGAATTTTTTACACAATCTGGATAAAAGTACTTTGTATGATATATTTTATAAATATTTCCTCCAGATATTTAGCGTGCCTAGCCTTCATTTCTTTATCAGGATCTTTTGAAAGAATCTAATTTATCAAAATTTTCTTTTAGGGCTAGTGCTTTCGGCATCCTAAGAAATCTTTGCCTGCCTCTGGGCTTGACGGTGCCCTATGTTTTCTCGTTTGAGCTTCATGGTCTTAACCTTTGCTTTTAGTTCTGTGAGCCATCTTGAATTAATTTTTGTGTATGGTATAAGGTAGGGGTCAAACATTCATTTTTTTAAAAATAGAGATCTTCAGTTGTTCAGCACTGGTTGTTGACTTTCCTTTCCCAAATAAATGGATTTTCCGTCTTTGTCAAAAATCACGTGGTCACCTAAGTTCAGGTCTATTTCGAAACTTCACTTCTGTCAATCTTTGTCTAGGCTATGTCAACCCCACACTGTCTGTATTACTGTAGCTTTAGATGAGATTATGAAGGCAAACGGGTAAGTCTTCAGACTTTCCTATTCAAGATTATTGGGATATTTAAGTTCTTCGCATATCTATATACATTTTAGAATCAGCTTGTCACATTCTATTTAAAAAGTCTGCAGTGTTGGGGTTGTGTTAAATCTGCAGCTTAATGGGGAAGAACTGACATCTTAACAGCATGGATTCTTCCAATCCTTGAACATGGTATAGCTCTCTATTTATTTAGACCTTTCTAAGTTTCCCTTCGTCATGTTTTATAGTTTTCAGCATACAGGTTTTTATAGATCTTTTGTTAAATTTATTCCTAAGTAGTTCGCGAATCTTGATGCTTCTGTAAATTAATAATTTTTAAATTAATGTCTTATTTTGGGGCTCACCCTCTCTGTGGTTTCCCCCTAATCTTCTTGCTGCTCTGGTGGCCCCAGGTTCTATCCTCACCCTCAAGCCAGTAAAGCTGCAGCCATTCTGCCCCTGAAGTCCCTCCCAGAGGAGAAAGTCCCCTCAGGCAAGAAGCCCCAGACTCGCAAATCTCAGCCAAGGAGAGCA